GATTCAATCGTTGTTATAACATGACAAATATTGTTAGATCATAAATTTTAATCTGAACTTAATTGTATTTTGCGTTTTGTGAATTTGATATGTGCTAATCTAGGGGTAAGCATAAAAACTGGTCAATATACATATAGTTTCTAAAGAGTGAATTGCGATTAATATTGATTTAATGAATTATTTACTTCTATATTAATTTAGACAATGATATCGTAACCAATAAGCTGAAGAACTTCATTGGCCGAGGGTTGTGCTTAGTCTTGGACATTTTAATTTCAATCTTGTTATTAATATTTACATCACCGCTGAAGATGGCAAAAAACTATTGCCGAAACGTCCGGAATTGTTCGTAATTATGCGAAATCAAATGAATATGAAATTGTTAAATTATAACTAACATTTTGACTCTATTTGCCTGTACACCAATGTATATTGAATAAATACATAGGTTTTATATTTTGAATTTTAAATATTAAATGTTAAAATTCTTTTCAAATTTGGAAGATACAGAGTCTGTCCGAAAAGTCATTGACATTACTTTTCGGACAGACCCTTTATACGAAAAAATGTATTTATACCAGGTATTTATACAGGGTGTTTCAAAATTCGCAAATTAAGATATAATATTTATATAAAGGCCGCCTGTTCTTGAGTTACACGTGCAAATTTTAATAAGCATTGGTAAGCAGTGTAAGCACTCACGTCTTCACACTCACAAGTGAAAATCTAAAAATGGTTTCTATTAATTATCCACATTAAAACTCTTATGTCTTACAGTTATTATTGAAAATAAAATTTTACAAATAATTTTCACTTAATTTTTTGAAGATTGACTTTTTTGTAGTAATGTTTTGATTCGCAAATTTTGAAATATCCTGTATACATATATTGGAAGTATTTGTAATTTTGTGAAATATGTTAATACATCATTTCTAAGTGTATAATATGTTACATCAATGTTTTTCAACTATTCGTTACATTTATGTATCAGTATTAGAAAAAAATTATTGTATAACTTTTTATTTAATTTAAATTTTTTTATTACACCTGCACAATGGACTTACATTTTTCTATTAATTTTTATAATTTGACGAGTTTTTCTTCATTTTATTTAACCATTTTATTACAAATGACAAAGATGTTTTGTTAACGTTGAAATAATAAAAAAGTAATTAGAAAATGGTTTTTTAGGTATTGTAAGAAACGCACACGAATCGGCGAAGGACGACCAGATCTCTGGTCCTATAAAAATATGGTTAGCTCATGCGAAGGAGCGTATGGACAGATTGAAAGAAAAAAATAAAGAAGCAGATCATATAAATCAAAATATTCCTGAGAATCGAAACGTTGCTGAGAATCAAAACGATCCTGAGGATGGAAACGTTACTGACAATGAAAATGGTCCTGAACAATCCGAATAAACCAAAGAACCAAAGGCCAAAATTTTTATATTTAATATTCTCATACATTAATATTTTTACTTAAGATTCGTGTGTTTAATCCTTAAGCAGGCGTGCCTCCCAGAGTATTAGTGAACGAATTTACTAAAATATATGTCTTCATTGGGCCATATTTAATGAATTTGCTCACATTCATTTTTACTTTATATATTTCAAAAACTATAATGCAGAGTCTACAATATATCTGGAGACACGGTAGTGTCTCAGCGCTAAGCCAAGCGCGCGACACTGTCGTGCCTCCTTTACGCGAAACGGAGATTTAGGAG